CACCCTGGGGGTTTTTAAGAAGAGGTTAGATGAACACCTTGCTGGGGTCGTTTGACCCCAGTACTCTTTCCTGCCATGGCAGGGGGTTGGACTAGATGATCTTCTCAGGTCCCTTCTGATCCTAGAAACTGTGAAACTATGGAATCACTGTATTTTATGTTGTGGGAGCATTTTAAACCCTAATGAATGGTAAGTACTATTTCATTAAGAAAATGTTAAAAAGGAGGCATGAAGTATGTTATGTTGGTGGCAAAAAACTAAAAATAGCTGAAAGGAAAAAACAGGGAAACATTTTCATTTTCAGGCTGCAGATCATGGCTCTGCCCCAGCTCTGGACCATGCCGTCACTATGGCAAGATCCCAGAGCAGCTCTGCACCATGCTGCGTGCCCTGCCAGCACTGCTGCAGCTGGTCTCCACGGAAACCCTGGCCTTGCGGCTGCTGGGCTCTCCATGGAAACCAGCCCCAGCCATGCGAGCAGGGGTTGCTGGGAAATGGAGTCCAGCCACTGACTGGATCCGCCATTTTGCCCACCCCTGGAGTAGAGCATGGAAACAGGGAAAGAGACCACAGAACAAAAATAAGTTGAATGTAAAAATATAAAGATGCAGATGTGAATATCTGAATGGACATTAACTGTTCATCTCTGATTACTGCCAAGCCATCCTTACCAGGCAAAGACTTAAATTTGTTTTGTCAGTTTATTTCTAAAAAAAACCCAAAACTTTTTTTGCCTTTTGAAATGAGGTTAGGCAGACTTCTTTCATTGTGTGTAAAGGAGATGACTTCCACTATTTTCTCCCTTTGGCTGCAAACTGCTCTCTTTAAACTGTAATTGAAGTGAGGAATGTAGACGAGAAGAGAGGAATGCATGAGACTAGTTCAGTTGCTTTACAGTGTGAAATGCCAGTGCTCACTAATATAGTCCTTAGTAGTGAACTGATGTGGGAGTTGGGCCCCCTGTGAAAAGATAGCGAGTGGCAATAGAATGTCACTAATACACTCTAATGAGAAATTGGTCAAATGGGTCATAAGCTTCTTTCTTTCTATTCTTGAAACAGGCTTGTTTTTCTGATAGTCCAGAGGTTTACTTTTTGCTCCCATGCTGTTGTGCAGGTTGTGGCAGACATGTATCTTCCTAGGTAGAATCATAGGCTTGGAAGGAAGGAACCTTGTCAGTCATCTAGTCCAATCTCCCCATCTTCTGTACTTGTGCAAGGTTCTTTGTTCCTAAATCAACTTTGATAAATGCCTGTCTAGCCTCATCTTGAAAACCTCCAATGAAAGAGATGCCATAACTTCCCTTGGCAGCATGTTCCATCTCAGGAAGTTTTTTCCCCCCCTTAGAATGTAATCAGTTTTATGCTTTGTGGTTATTTAATTGCATGTAATTAAATATACTAAAAAGAAAAACCAATAATTCCATGTGCTCCTTGGTTTTTGATAAGCAACTTGTCCTCTGTGTTGGTTCGTAGCAGGGGTGCTCAACCCCTAACCCGCAAGCAACATCCAGCCTACAGCACTGTATAATCCAGCCTACAAGGCTCACATGGGTCCAGAAATTTGGTGGTGGGAAAGTGGTGCCATTCCCCTGCTGCCAAATTTCTAGACCCATGAGGAGCCCTGAGCCCTGTGCGCTGGATTGGGCACCTGATCCTAGTGTGCAGGGCTGGGCAGGGGCAGCACTGGGGCCCAGGGCCCAATCTTGGTGTGGGGGTTTGGGAGGAGGAGATGCTAGGTCCCTGGCTCCAGGATCCAATCCCAGTGTGTAGGGCAGGGCTGGGGACAGCACTGGGTTCCAGGGCCTGATTATGGTGTGCAGGGCTCAGTCCAGCCAGCCCATGGACTGGCCCCACGCTACTCAAGGCCAAAAGGTTGAGCAGCACTGGTTTTTAATTTATATTTTTACCTCAGAGTAAGTTACTAAGGTCACTTAAGTTCTTTTAAATTAAAGTCACTGTAGGTAGGTTTGTCCTGTGTTCCTGCCCCTGCTGGGGCACAAGCTAAAAACTTACCTTATCTACCCACTCACATTAAGGGCTGGACACAGACATGGGCAAACTGGGCGGCCGCCCGGGGCCCAGACAGAAAGGGGGACTGAAAATGGTAATTTTTTGATGATTATTATCTCTGCTGAAGGGGGGTCTGATACTAAAAATTTGCCTGGGGCCACCGGGAGTCTAGGCATGGTCATGCTCCCATTCTCACGCACCAAACCTCAAAATGTAGTGGTGAAGTCAACTTGGGGGCAAGCGCCTAATGCCACTAAATTCTGGAATTTGGTGGCATTGCTGATAAATGTGTGTCTTGGTTACTGGTATGTTGTGATGACAGCTTTGGGGGAAACCCCCAAAATGGCTTCACTGCTGAATTTCTGAATTGGGCTTGTGGGAGTGGGACATGCTCCAGAATATGTCCCTGGCAATACCAGGGACACAGTGGAGACATCCTAAAAGAAAACAGTCATTTGGTTCACCGTGTCCATAGTGCAGACAAACTCAAGCCACATACATGGGTGAGGAAAGTGTGGGAAAAAAATAGCAGGGTCCATGGAGACTAGCACTTCCTGAGTGCACAGATGCTCTTTCTCAAGTGGGAAACTGTGGAAGCAACGGTAGCAACAACAGGGCAAAGGAGCCAGCCAGCATCTTCATAACCCATAGATATCTCTCTATTGCATGAGTAATGGCTGGCTGTTGTTTGTAATTTAGGACTAAAATAACATGAGATCAAACGTCCCTATGATTTACCCTTGATCTTTGCCTGTCTTGTCTAAATTGTAGTTGAGTGTAGGGTCTGTTAAGGTTCCATTATGTCTTGCGCACTGCACTGTTGATTCTGACAGGATAGTAATTCATAATAGTGTTGACCTCCTGTATGATGAGGAAATAAAGTATTACTATGAAGACTTCAGGAAAATGTGTTCTTAATAGATTTCACTCCTTAGTGTGATGTTCAGTGGCACAGCCATGCACAGTGCAAACATACACTTGTAAACCGTATATAATTCTTTACTTGGTTATTGCTGGAACACAGGGCAACGTAAATCTTACCCTGTTTCCCGTTTCACAATAATGTATGAGACAAATACATTGCTTAAAATAATAAGCCAGCAAACATTCTAGTGAACTTTGTACTCCAAAATATAATCTTGTATCTATTTCCTGTTGTAAGTGTGTTGTTGTTTTTTTGTTGTTGTTGTTGTTTTTTAAGCCTCTATTAGGAAGTTGGTAACCTCTGGAGAGTAACTGAAACTTGTTATAAAGAGACTATGTGAAATATTTTGGTTGGCATTGATTCCAGGAAGTAGAGAAGTACTAAGCTGGATCTTTACCTAATGCCAAGGAATTACATCTGTATAATATGTCTGATAATTTCAGCAGAGCCAATTTATTCTAGCACTAAAATTACTCTCTTTTGATCAATTTTTTAAGTTAATTTTTAAATAAGCAACTTTGTCATGTAGATGAGACCATTTCTCATGCAATGCTGACTACAAGCATACAATATAAACTTTCCTAATATTTTTCTCTCTTTACAGAAAGACCCAGATTACTTGAAGCTCTGGTTGGACAGTTTTGTTTCTAGCTATGAACAGTTTCTGGATGTGGACTTTGAGAAGCTTCCCACTAGGTATGTCAAAGTACAGACCTGCTCATTGTTGTGTTTGGTGTGAGGATAGAACTTAGCTGAGCTCCCAGACCTTTTTTTAAAATAAGTTCATCCCCTTGTTCAACCACAATATTGCTTGACCAGCTCTCATCATCCTGTTCTTTGGAGGTTGGGTTTGGACTGGTAATGATAAAACAAAAGAATTTCTGTTCAACCAGGAAATGGTGTTAATAAACGCTTGTTTTCGTTAACAGAAATGTATATATTACAGTACTTTATATGTTGCTAAAATAAATATTTTTGCAGTAATTGTGAAAAGTGGAATAATAGTAGTGATTATATTGTAAAATAAATGTGTGCATATAGGGGCAAAATTAATTTTTCTTTGCTATGGTAGTGTTTCCAGCCTCATATATTGGAATATCATAAGTCTGATTAAAAGAAATGGTATGAAAATAATCCATATTGAGTTCTTGTTTGCTTTCTTTTGTTTCTTTCTCTTTTTTTTTATTTTATTTTTTAAAATCTTTAGGGGTTATGTTTTCAAGCTTTTCTTTGTAGTCATGTGGGCTTGAAACTCCCTCTCCTCCTCCATGTGTGCCCCCCCCCTCCCTTTTTTATTTTTTTTTTAAATGAAAGCTGAGGTTATGTAATCACACAACTCCAGGAGCTGGGGCTTTCAGAAAAATAGAGTATTATTAGACTCGTGAAGAAATTGTGAGTGTTTAACTGTACCACAGTTGAGATCTTTGTCTGTATAATGAATGCAGGGAATGAAGCTTTTCATGCTCTGTGCACTATGATTCTGTTCTAATGCTCATTGAGTCAATGGAAATTGTCTGAAAGGGTCTTGGATCAGGTCCTATTTGAGGTTTTGGTGATATCTTCAGCACCGATTTTTGCAAGAAAATATTGAACCTTCAAATACTTCTTAAGTCAGAAGGCAAAATAAGTTGGCAATATGTCATAAATAATAACATTTTAATGAACATATTAGCTTACAAATAATATATAGTGAAATTGCTAATATGCAGCTGATAACAAAAGCTACGATTTCATTCTGTTTTGTCTTGCATCATAAGATCCTAAGACAGGAGGGCTGGAAGGGACCTCACAAGGTCATTTAGTCCAGCCCTCTGCTCAAGGCAGGATCATCCCTGACTAGACCATCCTAACTGTCTATCCAGTCCTACTCTTGAGAATTTCCAAGGACGAAGATTCTGCAGCTTCCCTAGGATGCCTGTTCCAATGCTTTACCACCCCCATGATCAAAGTTCCTCCCAATCTCCAGTGTAAATTTCCTCTGCTGTAGCTTGAGGCCTTTGCTTCTATCTCTTATGGGCACAGATAAAAGCCCATCACCATCCTCTCTAACCACATTTCGGGTATTTGAAGGCTGTTATCAAAACCCACCTCAGTCTTTTTCTTCTCTAGGCTAAATAGCCCTTGTTCTTTCAGGCTTTCCTCATAAGTCTTTCTTTCCAGGCCCCAAATAATTTTTGTTGCTCTATGCTTGACTCTTTCCAATCTGTCTACATTCTTCTTGAAGTGTGGGGCCCAAAACTGGACACGCAACTCCAGGTGAGGCCTCACTAGTGCTGAGTAGAACAGAAGAAATTGCTTCTCCCTTGTTTTGCCAGTGACAAATGTTGATACAATCCAGCATGCTATTGACTTTTTTTGCAACAAGAACATGCTGTTAGCTCCTGTTCAGGTTTTGTGGTCCACTGTAACCCCAAGGTCCTTCTCTGCAGTATTGCTGCCTAGCCCATCTGTATTTGTGCATACAATTATTCTGTCCCTAATGCAGGACTTTGCAATTTTCCTTGCTGAGTCTCATCCGATGATTTTGTACCATTTCTCCAGTTAATCCAGGTTATTCTGGATCCTATCCCTACCCTCTAGAGTGCCTGCGTCTATACCCAGTTTGGTGCAATACACCAATCTGCTAAGTGTGCACTCAGTTTCACATCCCAATCTTTAATGAAGATGTTAAACAGGTCCACACCCAGGACAGACCCCTGAGGACCCCACCTGCTTGATACCTCTGCACAACTGGATGTTTAACTGGAAGCATGATGATCCAACCAGTTATGCATCTGCTGTACCGTACCTTCATTTAGGCTGCATTTCCTTAGTTTGTTAATTAGAATGACATGGGAAAGTGTCAAAAACTAGGGGTGCACGAATAGAAATTTTTGGGGCTGATACCGATAGCTGATTTTTAAGGAGGTGTAACGGTTGATACCGATCCAGTTTCTAATATGCAGCTCAGCAGATTGAAGGGCAGCGTCTGGCTGGTAAATTTGTTGTGGTGGAAGGGAAGGGGTATATGTGGGAGCATAGATCGAGGTCCTCGCAGTGTGGGAGGGGTGGGGCTGGGGCAGGTGCTGCCCAGCCAGGGCAGTGCAGCATGCAGGATGGAGCCATGGCTCATCCAGGGGGTGCAGGAAGGGGGAGGGCAGTTTTTTGCTGCTGTGCACACTCCAGGAGAGCATGGGGGGGCATATACCCATGGATCTGCACAGGGCAGGGCTTGCTGTGGCTGGGGCTGTGGTGGGGCTCTTCCTAGTGGGGGCTGGGCTGGGCTGTGTTCAGGGTAGGTGGTGGTGGTGCTGGGAGGCAGCTACAGGGGGGCTGCAGTCATCCCAAAATTTGCCATAGCCTCCCCAACCCCCTCGCCACTGTCCACCCCATCTCACCGTGCACAGATCCATGGGCACATGTTTTCCACCCCTTCCATGTCCCCTCCCAGGGTGCGCGCAGCAGTGGGAGCCACCCCTCTCTCCCCATGCCAGCCAGACAGTCTGTGGCTCTGTCCTGCACCCTGCCCAGCCCCACTCCCTCCCTCACCGAGGGGACTTTGATCTGCCCCTCCCCTTCTCTTCTTCCACTACAACAGACTTACCAGCTCGCAGGCTGTGCACCTTGCTGCCTATGTGCTGTGCTGCAGCTGTGCACATGCATGGGGCATTTATTAGTCACATCAAGTTGATTTCTGAAATGGTCAATTTTCTTTATGTTGGTGCCAATCTGATATTGGTGCACCTCTGTCAAAAATCTTACTACTAGGGTCAAGGTGTACATCACATTCACTACTCTGCCCCCAACCCACAGAGCTTGTCACCTTATCATAGAAGGAAATCAGGTCAGTCAGATATGGCTTGCTCTTGGTGAATCAATGCTGGCTGTTCTTGATCACCTTATTCTCTAAGAAGTGCTTCACAATAAATTCTTTGAGAACTTGCTCCATGATTATTCAGGGTGTTGAGGTCAGGCTGACTGACCTGTAATTTGCTGGACCTTCGTTCTTCCCTTTTTTAAGGACGGGCACTATATTTGTTCTTCTAGAATCATCTAACCTTCACAAGTTCTCAGAGAGGATAGCAAATGGCTCTGAAATGACCTCAACCAATTCCATCATCTTTTAGTTTTGCTGTCCTTCCTTGCTTGCTTTTTTATGTCCTTGTGACAAGCTATTAAGCAGAATTTACTGATTTTGTTGGAATCTGATGGGCTGTACTGTGAACACTTCTGCTATGGCCTTGAACTTGCGACCTCTTAGGCTATCAGTTGTGAACCTTAGTGCCTGTGCCACCCTAACCCCCTTGTTTTCCTTCGGGTACGTAGAAATACTCTTTGATGGTCTGCTTCATAATCTTTCTGGTGTTGAGTCCAGATTGACTACTCAAGCAGTTCTCAACTTTTCTGGATACAAGGCACATGGACTTGCTGGACTTGAGGCACCCCTCCAGAACTTTTTGTGAACTGAGAGTGTCACCCAATTTCAAAACTCATATATGTATTAGTGCTTACCTTGCACAGGGGCTAGGCAGTAGGTGTGGGGGATTGTCCAGGCAGGGACAAGCCTGAGCCTGGCGTATCTGTTTAGTTTATTTCCTCATACCTCACTTACATCCTCACACTTTGTGGCACCTACCAAAGATCTGGCAGCATCCTAGGGTGCCTTGGCACCCTGGTTGAGAATCACTGGACTAGTCTATAATTGTAGTGAGTCAAAATGCCTCCTCCCAGGATTATATTTTTTCCAAATTATAGACTAGTCCAGTGATTCTCAACCAGGGTGCCAGGGCACCCTGGGGTGCTGCCAAATTTTTTGATAGGTGCCACAAGGTGTGAGAAGATAAGTGAGGTGTGAGGAGATAAGCAGATAAGCCAGGCTCAGGCTTGTCCGTGC